AAAAAATCAGTTTTGTTTCTATACACTTTTTTTGTATTTTTTGTTTCGTTTATTTTTCTTGCTTGTTTCTCTATATGCTCTCAACAAACAATCCAAAAAAGATTTCATTTATAATAGCGTCCAAAATAATAAAATACCTAGGAAATAAATCTAATGAAGGAGGTGAAAGTCTTGAATACTGAAAACTACAAATCATTGCTGAAAGAAATTGATGAAGACCCAAATAAATGCAGATATATTCCATGTTTATGTTTAGAAAGACCTGCTATTGTTATGATGTCAACACTACCCCAAATGACCTACATATTCAACACAATCCCTATCAAAATTCCAATGGGTATTTTTGCAGGTATGAAAAAGTGGTCCTATACTATTGAGTAAAGAAAAAACTCAAAATGGGAAGCACACGCTCTTGAGGAATTAATAACAAACACACTACAACTCAAAGCCTTTGATATGGCCAAAAGAGTCTTTGGGGGACAATTTATAATCTTAAATTCATTCATAGGAAAAGTACAAAAGGTTGAAGTTCTTTTGTACTTTCAACTCAAAAAATTAGAACAGATTGCCTAAGCAAACTCAAAGGATGTAGAAAAATAAAAGAATGCACGGATGGCTAGATGAACAAATAGCAAAGCAGCTGACTCATGAAGTCTCACCCACCACCACCTTTGCCCCAGCACACACACAAAATCTCTAGCAGGTAGTTTCATGAAAAAGACAATAGAACACACAATTTGGACAACTATGATCAGAAATAAAAAGAGGTCAGGAAAATAATGATAGGATAAAAGTACATGAATTAAGATATCACACAGTATCCTTATATTCAAAATTTGGAAAGCAGTGGTCTTCCTAGAAAAATATAATACATTAAAATTGGCCTAAGAATAAATTTTTAAAATGTAGTGAGCTAGCAGCCAGGACATTTATACCAGTAGTAATCATTTATACCCACGATAGGCACCAGGATCAGAGTGTTTTACAGGAAAATGAATCAAACCTAGCTAGTTTTGGCTAGCTGGTTGGCTCAGTTGGTTGGAGCACAGTGTTACAACACCAAGGTCAAAGGGTTCGGATCCCTGTACCGGCCAGCCATCAAAACAAAACAAAACCAAAACCTGGCTAATTTCCATTTTATAAACTTTTTGTTTTTTTTTTTTTGCAGCTGGCCTGCATGGATCGGGACCCTTGACCACGCTGTTATAACATTGCGCTCTAACCAACTGAGCTAACAGGTCAGCCCTGCTAATTTCCATTTTAATATAAAATATTCCGGAGAATACAAATAGATCGGAAAGTATTCAAGTCATTAAAGAAAGTTGGCAGTATGATGCCAAACAAAGATGAGGCCATCTAAGAAAAGAAAATCCTAGACCCACCTCATTTATAATCATATGTAGAAAAATCCTAAATAAAAACGTTTAAGGTATTCTGTTTATTAAACAAATAATGCAAAAATCCAAACAGGGTTTTCCTAGCAACTTAAAGGCATTTCACAATTAAATACCTGTTCTTGGCATCAATCGATTAATAGAGCAAAACTATACAATCCTCTCAAGAGTTGCAACAAGTATCTCAAAAAAATCAATATTGATTTATAATTTTTTAAAAGTAATCCAGCTATAGAAGGTAACTTTCTTACTCTGGTTTAATGTATATACCTGAAATCTCCAGGCCAGGCCACACATGTAATAGTGAACCAATACAAGCATTTCCAACAAAATCAAAAACCAGAAGAGGAGACCTATCACTCTACCAAAGCTTCCAACCATTTCAAGAAGAGAAGAATAATAAATCAAACATAAAATATGGGAAGGAAGTGGTGAAACAGTCTTTATCTGAAGAACATAAGGTCTTTTATCTAGAACTGTCAACACAATCAGGTGAAAAACTATTAAATATGAGCTCTCTGTGATGGCTGACTACAAGATCAATGTGCAAAAATCAATCGCTGTGACTGATTAGCAAATGCAACCAAAAAAATCTCATTTGAATAGCTATATAAATTCTAAAGTGCCCAGGCGTAAACTGGAAAGAAAACACAGGGCTTTATGGAGAAAAACATGACTAGTTATTTTTTGTTGTTGTTGTTTGTTTGTTTGTTTGTTTTAATAGGCTAAAAGAGATTTAAGATGAATTTAAAATCTTAAGGAAAACTATGCTTTTAAACTTGTGTTCCTGATATACTGCCTACCAGCTTCACACTCGAGGTAGCTGTAACTATTTTTCTGCATACAACAAAGCCAGTCAAGGAAAAAACAAACAAACAAAAATCACATTCACAGATAAATACATGTTGGTTGACAAGCAGGGATTCCAGTCCCCAGATACCTGCACCTCCCCGCCTGGCAGAACACTTCACTCCCTGTCACGTAATGGAGGCCTCCGTCCTGTCCACAACCCCCGGCAAGGGGACTGACTCCCGCACCTCGTTCTTACCTTTTTGGGAGACCAGTCCCCATCCTGTAGCCCAGCAAGTGAGGTTCCTCAGGTTCACGTCTGGAGGTGGCAGGCAAACGGGGAGCACGTACTCAGAGAACACAATGGCAGCCTTCAGCTGCACCAGGGCCACGTCGCTTCCCATGGGGTGGTTCACTTCGTACATAGGGTGGAGAATCACCTTGTTCACTTCGTACCACTGGGTGTGACTGCCGGCCACCACGAGGTTGACGAGGCCCACGTATATGTCAAAGGTGTCAAAGCTTTTTTCCCTGGAGGTGGGAACAAAAACACAATGCCTGCCGCCCCCCGGTCCAGGGAGGCTGAACACGGGGATCTGGGGACCCAGGTTCACTCAGCTGGGATTGAACAGCCAGCCCTACCCGCAGCGCAGTGGGGACTCACCCGGCTGTCTGGCAGAGTTGCCCCCAGAGGCGTCCTGATTGGGCCCATGGAGGTTCCCAGGACCAGGCCACGCACGTGGGGACCAGCCTCCACCGTGGGGACTGGCCAGCCGCCATGCATGGGGCAGCGCAGGTAGGGACTGGGCCTCGCTCAAGAGGACCAGCCTCCCGCAGAGGAACCCGGCCGTGCAGCCACCAGCCGCGGCGGAGGAGTTCGTGCGCGTGGGGACGCGCCACGAGCATGCGGACCCGGCCGAGCTGGTGTCAGCAGCGGCGGATTGGACCCCGTGCACTGGGACCAGGCCGTGAGCGGAGCGGCCGCGGTGGACGGGCGCGCGCACGTGGGGACCTGGCGTCTGGGCACCGGGAGGGGCCGTGCGCTGGGGGAGCAG